TATAATATATTGGTATCATAATGGTTGTATTTACATCATTCCACCCTGAAAATGTTACATCTAGAAATTTATGCTGGCTTTGAGTTGTAATTTTTCCACTAAAGGCTATGCCAAATATCTTGAAAAGGTCCAAATCTATCCAAAAAAAGCTTTTATGGTAATGAAAAAGTGCTGGCTTTGTAACAGAGGATGAGGATCACTCCGTCTCTCAAACATCTGGTCCCAAGTGCCAAAATGACCCATGCATCGGATCCTGTTATTCATCCGATATGCCAAAATCAGTACTATAAATGATCTTTATAAATATCTAATCCCATAATGGGCCCTTACCCAAACACAAATTATACTCCAAAACAATAACCACATATTTAAAATAATTGGTCACTTTTATTTTAAAAAAGACAAGTAGAAAAACACATCTAAAATCCTACCACATCCCACATACAAATAGAGTGCACTCTTAAAAGACAAAACAGGTACAGTTAATGATAGACAACGTGGAAAGTACATACGTAGTCTGGACCAGTTTAGATACTAACACTGGAAATGACTTCATATAAGGCACAGATGACAGCGTGCGATATCTTTTCCAAAGATAAGGACATTAAAATGAGACTCTGAGGTTGCTTCTTTTCATCTTGCGACACATAAAGCTTCAATAATTCAGCAAACAGATCTTCTTACATATGCATAAACAATTGTAAATTCTAGATCAAGTAGGAAACTAGTCCACGAGTGTCTTCAGTGTGCTGTTAATGTACAAAGTTTGCAGTAATGCAAGTTGGTAAATAGTGAAGGAAAGGACAAGTGCTTTGTTAATATGGATTTCTTATAGCTGCCTGCACGTAGTTTATGCTGGTGTATCAAGTTGGTCCACGTTATGCTGGAGCTTAAGCTGAAGAAGCAAAATCCAGCCAAAATAACTGAAATGGTAAAAAAAAAAAAAAAAGCATCTACCACACAAACAACAACAACAACAACAACAACAACAACAAATTGAACTTTCAGTTATCTTCTAAATATCAAAACTGATTTGAACACATTCATTGGCAGACTAAGTAAACTCTTCTGAATCATATGTTATATTCAAGTGTCAGTCCCATTTCTCCTTTGATGTAAAGCTTCCTCTGCTGTAAATCACACAAAGGACATTCCTGAAATCTGGGATGGTAGCAAAGTCATTTCAAGTGGATTTTAGGAAAAGATCTTGTATTTTTAAAAAATGAAATGAGAAGCTGTATCCATTTTTGAGGTAGAGCTAGACAGAAATGAGACCTACTCATTCCCAACTAAGTCTGGGTGCGAGACATCATCTCGTTCTGTGGACAGTAGTTCTGTGGACAGTAATTTGTGTGAATAGACGTGATTTTTGGGATAAGATTTGTGGAAAAAATTGTCCAGCACCTACTCCTGAAGAGTACTATGTTCAATTTTACTCAGTGTCACTGTGCTGCAGAAAACCTACTACAGCTGGTAAGTGGAAATGTTCAAAATCTCCTCCTCTGCTTGGCTGGAGTAAAGTTGATGATGGGCTCTAATTCAAGTTAACACAGTAGTACTGTGACAAGTTCCAGCATGAGGCAAACACAGGTGTTTTAAACTGTAAACCAGCGGTCCCCAACCTTTTTTGCACCACTGACCAGTTTATGTCCCACAATATTTTCACGGAGCGGCCTTTAGAGTGTTGCAGATAAATACAACATATAAAACCAGTACCAGTACCAAAAAAAGGAAGATTTATTCATAACACACGGGAAAAGACCCAGGGAAACCGAGTTAACGATAAAACCGATAAAAATCCAGAAAACCATCAATTTCACACCCGAGCCTCAACTCTTGCGGCCTGGTATCAAACGACTCATGGTTCGGTACCAGTCCGTGGCCCGGGTGTTGGGGACCGCTGCTGTAAACCACAGATTGAGGTATCTGGGTGTTGACTGCAAAGGTGCCACCTGCTAAAGTCTCGTCAGCAAGTGGCACTTAGGACAATACCTTCATTTGAGAGGTTAATACTCCCCATCAAGATAACCTTTATCTACATTTACATCTTCTTCTAGATAGAACCACAGGCTTTCAAGTTTATCTTTCAGTCTACATACTATTCTATTTGATCTTATGCAACTCAGAAACTGTTTTAGCAAAACTGTGAAATACTCTGTTTAATATTATAAAAAACGGACTACCTAGGTAGTTTGTCAAAGGAACTAAATCAGGGGTCTCGAACTCCAATCCTCGAGGGTCGGTGTCCTGAAACTTTTCCATCTGTCCATGTTGAAACACACCTGAATAAAATTAGTAGGTTATTAGCAAGAGTACAGAACTTGACTACATGCTGAAGTGGCAACCCTAACCCTACTCAAGTAAATTTAAGTAAATGTGTTTGAAAAAATGTACTTTAAAAAGTACTTTTATTGCACCATGTTCATTCACTCATGAGCTGCTGTAACATGAATCAAATGGCTGAATTTGCCACCTCAGCAGGCAGTCAAGTTCTATACAGTCTTGCTAATGACCTACTAATTGTATTCAAGTGTGTTGCAACAGGGACACATGGGAAAGTTTCAGGACACCAGCCCTCAAGGACTGGAGTTCGAGACCCCCTGAACTAAATGTAAATTGCCATTTCTTTCACTATTGACAATTAAAGGCACATGCAGTTGACAGAGTATTTCACAGTAATTCTAGTCACTCACACGCAGATGTTATTGCTCCGGTGCCACTCGGAATAGCAATTTCTTAAAGAAGTGATGCACAGTGTTTTGTGGCAGGTGCTGCAATAGATTGGAGACTTCTTTTTGCAGACCACGCACGCTCTCCTGCCAATAGTGGCTCGATACCTCGAAGCCACGTTGCTCATTTTCGCAACAAAGTACGCGGGCAGATGACCTAACCCCAGAGAATACGAGGTTTTAGCAGGTGGGGTGTCGGCAGACAGAGGAGCAGATGAGCCAGGGGATGAGTTAACGCAGGGTGCAGGAGGGCAGGAGGCAAACGGCGCATCGGTTGAAGAGCACTGGCCCACTTTGGATGGGGAGACAGGAGGCACTGGTGTTGGTGAAGCAGGGGGGACTTTATGTGGAGAAATAGCAGCCAGTTTGAAAGGAGAGGAAGGCAACATGTAGTTGTGAGGAGGCGCGCGGTTTGGTCCAGAACCGATCTCAGCCAGTAACAAAATGAGCTGCTCCCGGAACCTTTTCTGCGTGAGCATAGGCCGGCTCTGCAGCTTGCACATTTCCTTGTGAAGGATGAAGGCGTTCACTGTGGCTATGTCCACAAAGTGGTAAAACAGAGTCTTGTACCACTTGTGGGTTTTATGAAGGACGTTGTAGTAGCCAATCAGCGCATCTGACAAGTCAACACCCCCCATGTAACGATTGTAATCTTTGATGCAGCCCGGAATAGGCACGTGCTTCACCGTCCACTGTCCATCTGAGTCTTTCACTTTGCGCTTTGCTACATCGTGGTTGTACGCTTTATGTATAGAGGAACACATCGATACCTCCCGGGTGTCAAACCACCTAACAAACAACAACTCTCCCTTTCTGATCCATTTAATTGTTCCCCTTGGTGTTTTCTCTGGCACGTTATCCCACATGGTTTTGGGAAAACCGTTGACATTTGAACGAACTGTGCCACACGCCCAGATTTTTCTCTTGAGGAGATCAAGGAATAAAGTAGGACTAGTGTAATAGTTATCCACGTAGAGCTTGTAACCTTTACCAAGAAATGGGATGTCCAGAAGTCTCATAACAGCGTCGTAGCCTGCACCCTTCCCAGTTGGTTCACTCTCTCTTCCACCATACACAAAAAAGTTAATGGTGTAGCCGCACACTGAGTCTGCCAGCACAAAAAGCTTAAAGCCCCATTTGGTTGGCTTGTTTCTGATGTACTGCTTTAACCCGATCCTCGCTTTGCTCGCCACCATCCGTTCATCTATAGAGATATGCTGGTGGGGGTGAAAGAATGTGCAGCAGGCCTCCAAAATCTGCTCATATAGTGGTTTTATCTTGCACAGTCTGTCAAACCCGGGGGTCCCCTTCTTCTGGTCATTGGCCGCTTCCACAGCAGGGTCATTCATGTGTAGACTGCGGGAAATGGCTAGGAAGCGTCTGCAAGGCATAACAGAGGCAGGAAATGGCAGGCGGAAGAGCTCAGATCCTCTCCAGAACTCCTTCAGAGTTTTCAGCGGTACAAGACCCATGTAGAGGACAAGGCAGATGAAGGAGTACATGTCTGCTGCTGTGACTGGAACCCACTTTTCCTTTTGGGCTTGGTGTTTGATTTTTCCATAGGCGTTTGTGTTTTTCACCAGGGTATCAATGACGGTGGCAGAAAAGAACAACTGGAACAGTTCAAGTGGTGTGTAATGCGCTGTTCTGTTCAGCTGCGGCCCAGCGCATCTCCCGGGTCTGAACCGCGGCTGAGGAGGCTCAATGTCTTCTTCTTCAACACTGCGCCACTTTTCTCCATCGTCTGCTTCACCCCCGTTTGCTTCCACTTGCTGACTTTCTGCTTGCTGCTTTCTTTTTGGAGTATTCTTATGTGGTGTGGAAGGTGTCTTGCGAGTCTTGGGTCCGGAGGAGGAGGAGTCTTTTTTGGGCGTAGATGCATAGCGGAGCCTCTTACGAAGGGGACTCTGCTCCCATTTGTTAGATGCAGGTTTCAGCGGTGATGATACTGTTGATACAGAGGAGCATCGCCTCTTTGACGCCCTTCGCTTCTTTGGCCTTACATACAAGTCGTCATCCGAACTGGATTCGTCTCCCCTAAACATAAAGCAGATGGATAAGGGTTAGTAAAATTGGAGGTGATGCGTTTTCTCCTAATACAATTATGACTTGCAACCCTACTCTTCTAGCAAGTCAGAGAGAAACAAACAGTGAATAAAATGGTTATTATCCAGACTAAAATAATAATACTGCTACTCATTGAAGTGCTGCCACTTCAATAATTATATTATAAAAGTTGTAACAATGTAATCATAATAATCCCATTAGAACTTGTTGCCCTGACATTACTAGTGGCTTAGTATGGAAGCTCATTTCGGCCGCTGAGAGAAAAAAAAGACATCCATAACTTGAAATTTTGAGTCAGATATGTCAAAATTTCAAGTTAATAAGTAAAAATTTCAAATTAGATCTGCTGGCCAGGAAGCTCTGTTAAGGCTCCAGTACACCTGCTGGTTAAAAACTGCTGGCACACAGCGAACACAAAAACTTTTTACCCAGAAGCGAAGGCATCAGCTGTCCAACAGTTCAACATAAACACACTGATTCTATACCTTTTGTGCTGTTATCATTCACTAAAAGGGATTCAAGGCTGAAAAACCTGGCACCACTTTATTCATGTTTGATATATGTTGGTGGCTCACTGATGCTGTCACTACATGATTTTGAGTGTGCATGTGTCTGCACCATCTGCTTCCAGTTATCAAGGAAATGATGCCTTTCACTGAGCTTCCTGACTGGTGGAGCTAACTCAAAATTTCAACATATTAATTGAAATTTTGAGGAAATAAGTCAGAATTATTAGTTTATCAAAATTTCATATTATTATTGCGTGAGAATTTCAACTTAACTTGTAAGAGGAGGAGAGCCACCTTTGTCCCCAAAGCCACTCTGCTTTTTAACTCCAGCCATAAGACCATTTCCCACGCCCATAAGCATAAACTACTCTACACTCTTTTTGTACTGCCGACACTTTATTCACTTACAGTTATTTAAGCACTTATTCAGTCACTTTAAGTTTAAAACTGTGTATATACTGTATATTTTAAGTATTTTGTATCCCATTCTTATTGCCTGTTTGTGCCCCTGTCCTTATTGACAAAACTTGAAATTTTGATATTTTTTTTTTCTTCAGTGGCAGAAACAGGCTTCCATGCGCCTTGTTAGTCAGTATTTTCATCTTACAAGCATTTTATCATCTTTACTGATTAAATATAGCCAATATATGTAAATTTGCAGCAAAAAACCCCACCCCGACCTTCTCTGGTGCACTGTAAAACCTATGGGAACTAAACAACTGCGGTTTTAGCCTCAGAGATGGCTGCTCACTGGGAGCCATACAAAGACAACCTGTTCTCATGGCAGCTATATGTGGTAAGAGTTGTATGGCGTGGCGTTGTGCACGCGCTCCGTGGCTTGGCTGCACGCGCTTATTACGGCAGCGGTGCGGCGCGAGCGGTGCATGAAAGACACTTTCATATCAAACAATGTGCAGGCACAATGGGTGATATCTACGTGGCCTCTGCGTGATTGATGCAGATTGGCCAACCGGTGTCGGCTTAAAGCAGGGACAAAAGGGCAGCCTGTACATACGAGCACAGCACTGCAGTGCACTGGTGTACCTGTTCTGCTTATCACTTTGGGATGCCCATGACCTCTACAGTATGTGTGCCCGACGCGTCACATATAGCGTAAGCAGGGGCAATTTGTTGGACTGAAGCCAGCTCGGAGTGTTGGTACTCACTTATTTGATCCCCGGGCATGACCACTTGGAATGTAGTCCTCGTCGAGACTGCAGTCGCTATACTCGCTCTCAGAGTCCAGCTCTGAGGAGAGTAGTGCCAATTCATTGTCAGAGTCTGAAAGAAACATCGCTTTGGAGTATTCTCCCTCTGGAAGAAAGTCTGAGCGCTGTTACCTTCCCCAGAGGTTCCTTAAACTCAGCTGACGCCCAACTCAGCAGACACACATACACACAAAAACACCCCGTTCTTTACCCGGGGGTCACTCTCTCAAGATGTCCCACCTACTTTTTACCGTATAGTTAAAAGAAAACACAGTTCGATTGGCTCGCGTAATGACACGCTGCTGGGATTGGTTGATAAACTTAATGAACTGCAGGTCCCTGCGACTCTTACCCTTTGTTTAACAAATAAATAAATAAATGACATCACTTGAATTGGTTTATGACGAAGATAATCAGTTTATAGCGCGGCAAAGTGTGGGATCAATTCAGGAACAAACACTTGTATTCAGTTCCTGTTTGATTGAATATGTGTAGGCTAGTGTTTATTAAAAAACAAAACAAAACACGTTTTGGTGTATATATATATATATATATATATATATGTGTGTGTGTGTGTGTGTATTTATTTATTTATTTTTATCAAACTAACAAAATGCAGTTTTAAATCCACACAAACAAGCCATGATTTGTTTTTCAAAAATGACCTACTACCATATTTAATGTCAGTAATACCACATTTCACCTCTACACCCCCTCATCCATTATCCCAAAGATGGATGCAAGAGTGAGGAAGAACTATATTAACGTGACCCATACTTTGAGTATGATGTGCTCTTTTTAAAAGAAAATAATCACCTCCACCATAGGAGGTTATGTTTTAGGTCGCGTTTGCGTGTCTACATTCTGTCTATAAATACAATACAGTGGTCCGCCGTTTACCTTTCGCGGCCTCGCCGTTTTTGTGGGCAAGTTTTTTTTTTGTTTCGTTTTTTGCATTGTGTTCTGCGTCCTGATTGGCTGTAGACCATTGTCAATCAATCTCGTGCAGCGTCTCCTGTGCAGTACAGAATGCGTCCAGCTTGTCAAATTTACATAAATCTTCGATGGCTAGCAGTGTGACTTACAGTACTGTAAGTTTGTAAGTTTTCTCCCCAACAAACAACAATGTCGACGAAACGTTTTGCACCGTCAAAGGCACCTGTGGGTGCCTTTTGTTTCAGTCTATAATACTGGATTTATTTTACTAAGAAGGTTTGAACTTCGAGGGTGTTTAAACCAAGGTTATTATCGTTAACGAAAACTAACGAAATAACGAAAACTAGAAGTGAAAAAACATTTTCGTTAACGGAAATAAAAAAAAAAAAAGGAAAACTAACTAAAACTGGAATGAGTGTTCACAAAACTAACTAAAATTAACTGAAAAAATGCAAAAATAGCAAAATAGCAAAAATGTGTTTAGTTTTCATTGATGTGTGCGTGTCATACAATAGTCAAGGGTGAAAATGAAGTTTAGTTTCCAGATTTTTTTCTTGCTGTGTCTCATTATGCCAGCAGGTGGCAAGTACGTTAGTCGAGTCGTCTGTGTTGCTGCTCCATCCACGCTCGGAAGAAAGCGCCAGAGTCCAATTTGGGATTACTTTGAATATGACTGTGTTTTGGATAAAGCAAGTGTCTTGTAGTGGAAA